GGAAATTTCATGAAGAATATATCTATGCACCTCCAGGTAACTAAAACTTTAGTTTTTACTAATAAAACACTTGGTGAATGTAATGCACTCATTATGACCTTTTTAGAAGTTTGTGAAGGATTAGATTTAATGCTGCTTTTTTTCAATTAATTTTGCCTATGCCCTCCAGACCCTGACTGTGAAACTGCGACAGTATTTAGTTCAGCAGAACCTACAGCAAACCTGGTAAGCTTTAGTCACTGTCTGTTCAGATCAGGAATCCTTGAAGTGTGTGGCATTCTTCATAGAAACTGTCCTTAGATGCAGGCCTAACATAGTAGTTCAGAGACTTTTTTTGGAAGGAAGTAATGATGATTTCATTTATATATTCTCCCTCCGTTTCCCCCCTAAATGGTGAGGTTTTTATCTGAGTCTGCAAGTACAGTCTGAATTGTACTAGAAACATTAATGATTTTTCACCTTCCCCTCCACAAGGAGAAAGCATGTATTTGAGTGCTGTTTACTTTTCTTTTTCTGCTCCAGACGGCTCTTGCTTTTATCATGCTACCCTTCAAGTCCTACTCCAGTTGGTCTCATTCCTCCACTGTGAGGCTGGAGAGATCTCACCTCTGATAGAATTGACTTTGGAATTTTGTTTTATTTTTTTAATCTCGGACTTAATCTGGGGTCACGTAGTGGTCTACACTGGGTGTGAAAGCCAGCCTTGTGCATGTCAGAATAAAACCACTTTCACTCAAGTTATGAAAGATCCTCTGTGTGTCCGTGTATAGTCCATAAACTAATTTTAAAAAAAAAATTAGGGGTGTGGAGTGTGTGTGTGCCTTGTGACTTCTTTGCCTCTTGAACGGACCATGCTTTGCTTTGGAATCCCTTCAGGAAGAAGGGCCAGTCTCTGTGTCACCTCAGGATGGAGCGGCTTCCTACAGCTATCCCCAGAAGGTAGTATCTCGTACATTACTGTGGTAGCCCTGCGGAGAGGTGACCGCTCTGCTTGGTTAGTGTCTGTTTGTGGGGTCCTTCTATCTGCCTCTTACAGCATCTTGTAGCAAAGAATACAATTCTGTGTAAATAAAAGCAAAACAGAAGGGTGAGAAGATGCCTTGCAGGTGTCTGCAACTCTAAACTGCTATTTTAAAGCCAAGTTTTAGAGAACGGGGGTAGTTAGCTGCCTTTACAGCTAGGACTTCCAAAATGCATTAATGTGAAGTGAAAATTTTTGAACTATGTGGTGTTTCCATAATCTTTGTCAAAGCCAGTTGTAGAGGCAGTTTACTTAATACTCTGACTCTTTTCCAGGTGTTGGTGAACTCTGCAGCAGTCTCAACCTCAACAGGTGTTTATGCTGCTCCAGCTACAGGTTTCTCCTCAAATTCTGCTGCCTCCACTCCAGCCAGTGTCACAACAGCAGTTCCCCCACAAACAGCAGTTCAGCCAGTCATAGTATCTCCCCTTTCTATAGGGAAGCCAGGTAGAGTGTACATACGATGGCTATGGACTTGGATTTTTGAAGTGACTCTTCATTTAAATCACATAAAGTGATCATTCTGTTCCCTGTTGCTCTAGGACAGACAGTTATGTAAGGAAAGTCTGGCCTGCCTTCTAGTATGGAGAAATGATTGAAAAAGACCTTTATTCTTAACTGGAATATGAAGCTTGCCAATAGACATACGGTTAAGGCTTGTGAGAGTGGAACCTTCCCATTTTAAATTTCTTCTGGACTTCTTTTAAAGTGATTTCTAAAGAAAACTTTGTTAAAGCTTGTATTTAGGGGCACTGAGATGACAAAGAAGTGCAAGCTTAATTGCTTAACTTAGTGTCTTGTTCATTTGACATGCCATTGCAAATTTGAATTGACTTTTTTTTTCCTTCTAATTGTAGCAGTTTCTTCGATGCCATTCCCAGTTTATTCAGCTCCCCTTCCTCCAGTCAGTGAGGTTGGAGAAGCTGGTGCTGTTCTTCCGCCTTACTCTTGTGATCCCAGTGGCAGTGATCTGCCTCGAGGTAATGACAGTATTTTGTGCATTTACTACTGCTGCTCGTTGGCATGCTTCTGACTTGTGTTCTCCATGGAAACTTAACAGCATACCTGTAGTGAAGAAAAAATGGCTCTTTGCAGCTTGCAGGGAGTGAGAAATAATATGGATGCTTATGCTAAAAATGTTTTAATTCCCAATTCTGAATAGCAAGTTCATTCCTGACTCAAATATGTGATTACTGCAGCTTTAGACAGCATCCTAAAGAAATTTGCTTGACCTGTATCTTACTGCTTCTTGGTGGAGTAATCATTTTTTCTGATAACTGATTAAAAAAGAAAAAAAATCTGTGTATTTATACAGTCATGCTGCTGCACAGTTGAGTGGACTTTTGTGGTGTTTTCCTGTATGGCTCCAAGATGTTATTCTATGGTATCATAAAACAGGGATAAAGTGTAGGGTCATTTTGTTCCTTGGGTGCATCACCTTTTTATATACTGACAGTGTTTAAGGTACATTTCAGCTGTTAAGCAACAAGCGTGCAAAGACCAACATAGTACCTACCAGCAGAGCAGCTCAAGAAGCAGCTTTCAGCTTTGTCGGCTGAATGTGGACGTCATTTTGAAAGTGGTAATCTTTAGTCAACTTGCTCTTACAATTTGAGAATATCGGCATACCATGCAAGGTTGCATCAGACAGCCAAGCTTGGTAAGCAATGCAACAGGCGTATACATATTTGATCTTTTTATTTTTGTTATTAATTTATCCCTGTGTTCTGCCATGTTTATGGCTCACAAGGCATAGATAGAGCCTGTAATTCACAGGCCTTTGTTTAATAACCAAAAGATCAAGCTGTCTGCTGTGCTTATCGCAAGCTAAGTGCCTCTCCACTACAGGAATAACAGTTTTGCTTGCTGTTATGCTATGCAACTTGTTTTTCTCTAGGAGGGGGATGCTGTGAGGCTCAAGCGTGCCACCATTGCATCACTGCACACATCTTAACAGGCAGATAAATCTATTCTGTGATGCTGATCAGGTTTGGTGGTTGTATATAGTTTTGGACAGAGTAGCTGTAGCCTACGCTGAAGAGCAGCAGTGCAAAACTGGCTGGTTGTACATGTTCTTGTTCAAGTAGTGGGTGTATATCTGCACATTGCTTGAAGTTAGATATTAGGAAAAACTTCTACACTGAAAGAGTTATCAAAGACTGGAAGCGGCGGCCTGGGGAAGTGGTTGAATCGCCATTCTTGGATTTATTTAAAAGCCATCTAGATATGGTGCTCAGGGACATGGTTTAAAAGTGGGTCCAGTAGAGTTTAGATGACATTTGGACCTGATGATCTTAAAGGTCTTTTCCAGCCATTATGATACTATGAAGTACACAGGCTTTTAAATACCCCCCCATACACTGGCTATGTTGAAAGTCTGTGCATCATAGCTGGCTTATTCTAATAGCCATCTATAGATACAGCAGATGACATGATTTTATCAGACTTGCTGCCTTTAGTTCAAGTTCCTGAATCTCTCATGTTCTCTGTTGGTGGAGAGCATAGCTTTTCATTTAGGGGTGAGGGAGGGAAAGAACTGGATGCATATGGGTAGGGTCTGTGAAATCCAAGTATTTTTTTGCACTGTCTTTAAAAAGTGTAGTTTTGCTATAACTGTCTGACTTGATTTCCTCCCCACACTCCCTCAAAAAAAACCCACAAAACAAACAAAAACATCCCAAACCCCAGCATCCTTGTAACCAACTGTATTTCAGGTGTCTGGCACTTGTAGCTTTTACTGCATCAGAATGTAAAGCTTTTGGCTTCTATTCCAAAATATATTGCGTGAAGATGGAGCATAAAATATTTTAGTAATGCAAATTGTTTTCATGCTTGATTCAACGTATTACCATCTAAAGTAACGATGATGTCCCTGTGTGGGACTCTCTTCTTCAGTGTACTAATAGTAGAGGGCTAATTTCAGATAAGATAAAGAGTTATTCTTGATACGTATAGTAGCTACATCTATGGTAGCTACATCTGGGAGGTTGCAGAACAACTTTGGGCTGCAATGCTATGGGTTCCTTCAGTTGTGTTTACCATGTACCATGCTTGTCTTGTCAGAAGTTGATCTGGAAAAAGACAGGTTTTAAACACTGTGGCATGGCTGCTCAAAGGCCTGCTGCTTTCACAGGTACTGCTAATGTGCTGTGTACTAACTCTGCTCTCTTGCAGGTGCTCTCAATTCCTGGTTTTATTAATCTTGAATATTCTGTTTTCTACTTTACTGCTGCAGTAGTGTCACTCTCGATGATATTATGCGCATTGGAGTTAATGGTTTTCAACCTTAGTTGAATGCCCTTAATCTGAGGATTTCAGCACTTGGGAGAATTGGGTGTTAAGTGTACTGACAAGAATCTGGAGTGGATGTGGATTAATAACCTCTTCAGAGCCTGTAGTTCTTCAGCTGAGTTACTCCACATAATGTTGGCCATGTCTATGCCGGGAAGGACTCCAGAAACTTTTTTAAGGATCCGAAGATTGGTAGTGAATAAAGGAATTGCACGTAACATTTACGCTGTCACGCTGCTGTAGTACAATCTATATGGCCTTAGAGTTAAGAAGTCCAGAAGCTTTGGAGTAATGCAGGGTAAAGTACGTGGGTCTACTTAACCTTGTGTTCTGTGCGCTTGGCTAAAGATACTTGGAGGGCTGGTGTTTGGGCTGGTGTAGCCTGGGAGTGTGACTTGTCAACAGACTGAAGTCCCGGACATGGCGAGGAAAACCTGCCACGTGCCTTAGTATTCCTGTGGTCCATCTGCTTTAGTTCCAATTTTTGGAGTCTCTTGGATCTCTTTCTAGTGGAGCTTAGGGCTTGTGAAGCATGTTTGTTAACATGGCGGTGACCTTAGGTGTGCTGCCCTTGCCGGCTGCCTTGTGTTTGAAGGAGTTGTTGATGAAAGAGGGCTTGATGTGCCTGCCTTCCAGAGACTGCAGTAGTGTTCAGGATTGAGTTGAGCTTCCCATCAGCACAGTAGAAATTTTACCATGATTTTTGTCCCGATGCGTCGTAAGACAGCATTTTTATCAGTAGTCAGCATGGTCGCTATGTTTTCATGTCAGGGTGCTTGATTTTTTTTGCCTTAGCTGTTGCTTCATAAGGGTGTCATGTTTTACCAAGGATTGACTTGATTTTTGAGACATCTAAAAGAGGAACATAAACAAAAACTGGTCTCCTACTGTACTGGCTTCTGTTCCAGCATTCCACAGACGTCGATATTTCCAGTATCAGTTTGTCGCTTCAGTCTCCCAGCTCTTCCTTTGTACTGTTATCGCTGCTATGAAGCAGCTGTTTCATTCAGCTCTGAGCTTGTTTTGCACAGATTTGCATAAACAATTGAAGAACAAAATCAGATATTTTAAAAAAAAAAAAACCACCAAACCAACCAAAACACATGTTCCAAATGTAGATGCCGTTTCAGCCAGATCACGAGAAGTTGGCATTGATGTGAGCCTTTGGGTTATTTTTAATATTTTACTGCCTGTGGCCAACGTCACAGCCAAATCACCAGTGCTTTCTGGAGTAAGCTTACAGCTGTTGGACGTAAGGAAGGATCTGTGTGCTCTTCCTAAAATAGCTGTGTGGTTTGTTGCCCCGATGAAATACGCTGAACAGTAGGAGAGTTGAGAATTGGCAAGAGCAACAGAGGAACAAATCCGTGTGCATTTCAGGACTGGGGTGTGCGTTGTGCCTGTCTGCAGCAAAATACGACACACAGTTCCGTAGAAGAGCAGGGCTGGGAAGGCGTGCACGTTTGGTAGATGGGTTTCTCTTTTTTTAATGGCCAACTTTAAATGTTGAAAACTGCTTCACTGTTTTTGGACAGTTGGATATGTGTTTCCAAGTTCAGAACCCTGTTGTTCTTGGAGAGGAGTTTCAAATTTCCTTCACGCACCTGGGATTGCTTCTCAGCATATCATGTATTTGCCTGGGGGCAAATTATTCAGTACATGGAAGACAGAAGTAAAAGACTACTTGCAAGAAAGCAGGGAGCTGAGTACCCTTGTGAGGAAGGGGAAGGAAGGAAAATATTCCTCATTCCTCACCCTGTGTTTTCTGACTTGATACAACAATTGGGGGGTACCCCCAAAACTAGGTCGGAAGGTCTTAGGATTGCTGCATGTGTTGTTGCCATTGACACGTCTCTGTGGTCGTTGCTCAACGAAGCTCTGAAGGTGTAGATGGTGGCAGAGTTGATGCAGTGTGAAGCTGGAGTCTCTATGGAGTTGGCCCATGGTCTCACATGCCAGCCCAGTCAGGATATTTGCAAAATGTATGTAGAGTGTGTGTACACCGGGGGTGAGTTGTCACTGGTGTATGAGAAGGCTGCTCCTGCCTGTCTGCGTGCTTCCAAAGTCCTTCTCATTTCTGTAGTGAGGACGGGAGGGAGTACTTGTAGTAGTCAAATTAATTTAGGGCTCATAGTCAAATTCTTATTTGATAAAATACTTCTTTCTCTAAAAAGCTCAGCCTTTATAGGAAGCCAGAATTGCTTAAGTCCTAGTTGCTTAGACAGCGGAGACTTGTAACAATGCTGACAGTTATCACTTGAGTAATCAAGATTAGTAAACCAAAACTAAAGCTAATGTAATAATTTAAATTGGATATTTTGGTCAGACAAATGCTTTACTATTGCACAAATATCAAACTGGATTAATTTGAAGAGATAACCTAGTTTTAACAACTACTTATATTCAAGATATATTCTTTACTCTCAAAACTTTATAGAAAATGTAGTGCTAAAATTCTCTTATTCATGTTAATAGTGCTATAATACTCTTACTCATGAGAAACTTAAAATAAAATGCGCTTGATGTGTGTAAATGTCTCTTGCTTCTCAGTTTATGCTCTTCTGCCCTTTAATGCCATGTCCTTTTAATTTCAGATACAAAGGTCTTGCGGTACTATTTTAATCTGGGATTGCAAGTAAGTGCTTTTAAAATGAATGTAGTATATTGCCTGTAAAAACTGCTGTTTTTCTTGGCAAATGTACTGATGTATTTAAGACTTCCAAATGTGCGTCCAGTGGACTTGACTATTAATAGATATAGGCTTGCTTGATGGAGATTAAAGTATAGCTCAGGAAGTGAAGTTCTGCTTAAAAATGTGAAGCACACTAGTATATATGTTTAGTTCTTTCACTTTGGATTGTGGTGGTGGGTTTTTTCTTTTTGTTTTTGTGGAGGATGTTGGATAAATATTCTTCTTTCTGTGAAGATAAGGGGGGGAACCTGAGCCATTCTTAAGAAAAATTGTGTACTTAGACAAAACCTCAAAGACCATTTAGAGATGTGTGGGTTTGAGTCTTCTAGGACTCGTACAGCTGTGTTCAGACTGGTTAGCACCATTCCTATGTATTCTGGGAGCTCTTGCTCTGTTGAAGGTTGTCGCTACACCAGCAGTCACATGCAGTGTCAGTGCTGCCACTTAGGGAAATAAAAGAAGTAATGTCAGGTTCTTCAACTGCAGAAATAGGAAAAAATCTCTTTGAATATGAGAAGGTTGATAGGTGGAAATCTTCTTTCTCCATAAAGATTTCTGACACAACAGTAATGGGGAACTGAGGTGGCTATTGCTGCAGGTATTGCAATATATTTTCTGGTAGGCTGTGTTAGAATCATAGAATGGTTTAGGTTGGAAAGGAACTTGAAGATCATCGAGTTACAACCTCCCTGCCACGGGCAGGGACACCTCCCACTAGACCAGGTTGCCCAAGGCCACGTCCAGCCTGGCCTTGAACACCTCCAGGGATGTTGGGTTCTTTTGGTGTGGGTAGTATTTTAGGGGCTGGGAAGGAAAAAATGCACTACTTCTACCTTTAGATCAGAAAGTAGTAGTGATTTGAAGGAGGAATGGAGAGTATGTGGTTATATGCATGACCTTGTATGTTTTCCTTTTCTCAAAGTATTGTCATCAGAGCTATTGGCCTTCCATGATGTATGTACAGCCAGTGCTGCCACCATCACCTGTGGAAGTTTACCCAGCATACGCTGAGCCAGCTCCTGTCCTAGATCAGTCAGTACCTCAGCTCTACACTGATGCTGGCCGAACTGAAGTCCACCAGGTTCCCTTGGAAGCACCTGCAAATGGTTAGTATTTGAGTATAAGACCACATAAACAACTGATGAGAAGTGCGGGAACAGGTTTTCGGAGCATGACTGCTCCATACGAGCTGCTTGCCTGCAGCTTTGCTATCCTGTAGGAAGTGTGAGGTTGAGAGGACATAGACTAAACCTTGTAAGGGGTTCTCACAAGTTTCTCTGCCATCTGTGGTACTACTTAAAGTATGTCAGAGACACTGGTATAGCCACCAATGTGTCAAGGGTTTTCTAAAGCCATAAAAAGGAAGAAGTAATTGGTTCTAGGCCTGTACTAGGGATGCTAACTTTAACTTCGGAGAACTTTTTCTAAAACTGTGAAGGAATCTCTGCTTACTGAGAAGCACGTAGTCATGGTATCAAAACAGCATGTCGGTATTTAAAGTAAAGGAAACAGTTGAGCTTTGGCAAGCACCTGAGCATCGGTACTTCAGCTCCACAGGAATTTTTAAAAGGAAGATGTTGCAAACCTTGGTATTGGGCTCAGCGGGCTGAGCTGTTATCTCTTGAATAGCCATTACTGCTAGGTGCATCTCTTACTGTGTGTAAAACTTACAGCAAAACTTAGTTTTACCTAGCAACTTGGTAACAAGCTTGTAGGTATACTTGGTGATAAATAGGAGGATTGTATTAAATTAGGAAAAAGATGTCAAAAAGGTCAGATGTCTAGCTTATTAAAATCCATTGAACATGGCAAATGGTCAGTGCTGGAAAGCAGCTCATCATAACAAAACTGTTGTTCAGAGGCATAGAAGCTTATTGCTCTGATAATGCTTCAGCCTGTTCATCCAGTGTGCTCCTTTTTGCATAGATTAGTGTCATGTGGTCAGAGATCAAATAGGGGAAGAATATCATAGAATAGATTCATGGAATGGTTTGGGTTGGAAGGGACCTTAAAGATCATCCAACACCCCTGCCATGGGCAGAGACACTTTCCACTAGACCAGGTTTCTCAAAGCTCTGTCCAACCTGGCCTTGAACACCTCTAGGGATGCAGCATCCAGAATGTGTCTGGGCAACCTCTTGCAGTGTCTCAACACTCATCTATTAGCTCTTTACCTGAGTTCCTGTTGAAAAAGCTGCCACTCCAAAGCAGAAGGCTGCTAAGCAATTCTTGCACAGGGTTTAGCAAGAAGATGAGCAAGTTGTCCTCTAGTCTAACTTAAGACCCAAAACTATTTTCACCCCTCTGTTAGGAGGGACATACATGGGCATAAAACTGTCGTCTAAATGTATTTTCCCTTTTGGCCACCAAAACAATGTTGTGTTCACAGTAGCGAAAGTCTGCATAAAAAGGCTGTAGGTACGGTAAAATATAGTAAGCGTGTGTATTTTGTGCTGTGTTTTTTTTTTTTTTTTAAGGTAACTTTCAAAATGTAGAGCCTCCACCCCTGTCCTACGGGCCAGTATATTACCCAGTCGTGTCGGATCCCTTCAGCCAGCAGTCTCTTCCTGGGTTTGATTCTTTAGTACCTGCCTATCGCTATGTTAGTACCTGGCATCCAGTAAATCCACCATTTGGAAATTCTCCACAAATTGCTAATGCTGTAAGTTCTGGACCACTGCACCAAGTCAGCTATATCGCCTCACCTAACCCTGCACCTCATGACGTGCCTCAAGGAATGTGAATCTGGGAGCTGTAAGCTCCCTGCTTGCCCTTGGTTTCTCTTCTTTCTTGTTTGTCAACTATATGTTAATATTGGTTTGTAAATGCTATCCCGTCTTAGTGGGCTGGGTCAGTTGATTAAACTGCATTCCGATTTCCTGTTTCTCTTTAGGTTTATGCTAGTGATAGTTGACAAGATGTTGTTTTAGTCGATTATGTAGGAAAGCATAGGAAAAGAGTATATGCAAACTATAGTGCAGGGAACACAAAGCTTGAATTCGACTACATAAAGTATGTGTAAAAACATATGGTATCACAAAAGGAATTTTGCATCATGTACCTCTGTGAGGGATTGCACTGGAACACTTAGACACATGGTTCTTGTTTGAGCACTGAAATAGGCTGCTATTACAAGTACAGATGAAAACTGGGCACAGGGTCACTGGAGGATGAAAATATTTGAACTAGGTTGACTTTCTCAGATTTCGGAAAAACAAAACTACTTTGCCACTAATCGTCACGTATTTGTAATAGCTGTATTTCTCCTGTCTAATCTCATTCCCCTTAGATTTCGTGTCTCTTGAAAGGGTAAGAATACTGTTTTCATCTGTTGTATATTGCTGTATGTTTGTAAGATTTGTTTTGTGAAAGCTGTTGCACAAATGGTGGTAGTCTTGGTGTTTAGTTTGCACTGATAGTACATAATAAAAGCATTGAACACATGAAAATGAGTGGTCATTTATCACTGGCAGGTTATGTTCCTGACAATTAGTCATCCAACAGCCTGGACTGAAGAAATGTAGTTGTCTTGTGTGGGATAAGGCTGCTCCAGCCTTCTATGATAAACTAGCAAAAGCTTTCAGCATGAGAATGAAGTGCGGTGGAAAGCTTATCTTTGTTGATAAATTTAGGAAGAAAACATTGAATACTCTGTACACGTGAACAGCAATTCTTTCAAATGACTGTCTGCACAGGCTCTGTCCTTGATAGAAACTTGCACTGTACACACAAAATGAACAAGGAGCAGGTGTGAGTTGGGCCCTGCCATCAGCCCTCGGGGCATCCTGGTGGCATAGTCCTGTCCTGGGGTAACAAACAAGGGAATGAATGTGGGTTATGCCAGCTCAGTGCCAGAGGCCCTGAAAACCAGCAAAGACACTTAATGAATCTTTTACTTCTTTGCAGAGGCAGTTTACTTAATACTCTGACTCTTTTCCAGGTGTTGGTGAACTCTGCAGCAGTCTCAACCTCAACAGGTGTTTATGCTGCTCCAGCTACAGGCTTCTCCTCAAATTCTGCTGCCTCCACTCCAGCCAGTGTCACAACAGCAGTTCCCCCACAAACAGCAGTTCAGCCAGTCATAGTATCTCCCCTTTCTATAGGGAAGCCAGGTAGAGTGTACATACGACAGCTATGGACTTGGATGTCTAAGTTTTCAGTTACATCTTCCCTTCCCACTTTTTTTTTCTCCCTACCTATCCAAGACATGTCAAAAAGCTTTTTCTTAAAAAACCAACCAAACAAAAACAAAACAAAAACCATCACTTGCTTTGGCTTCAGATGACTTAATAGTAGTTGTAACTTCACTGCTGACTTCTTGCAGTGAATTCTTCTCCCTGAACTTGCGTGGGAAGTGGAGGTGTCTGCTGTGGGTTCCCCCCTCGCCACCTTTAGCCATCAATGCCAAGTGTTTTGCTAGAAATACCTTTTTCAGAAGCAGAAGTTCATGGCAGCTCCTTTCTATTTCCTGCAGTTAGTTTTCCTCTTGAGTTGAGATACTAGTTAGGGCTGTAAAAGAAAACCAGAGTTACTCAGCCTGCTTCTCCTCTTCATAAGCAAGATTCAGCTTGTCCTAATGTGTAGTGCTCAGACTGGAGCAGAAATGCTCTGGCTATGAGTTGGAGTTCGGTTATGGTTACCTGTGTTGCCACTGCATCATGTAAAACAGCTTCAGTTCTTTCTGCCTTCCCTGGCAGGGAGCATGGAGGAGGGAAGTTATTTTTGGAGTACTGAAGGGTGCTCTCCTCCAGTTCACTGCTCACAGGGTGGTGGAAACGTGGCACCTTATGAACACTATCATCCTCAGAATCCTCCTGAAAGACATTACTGTAGATTTGGGATGCCAGCTTATGAAGCATTGTAAACCTGTCTCAGATCACCACTTGTTTTTTATTCATTCTTGCTGCAGACTACTTAGGAGAGAGTTCAACGGCTTGATGTCCAAGTAGAGACCAGTGACGAATGGAGTTCCTCAGGGGTCAGCATTGGCACTGATGCTGTGTAACACCTTTCTCTGTGACATGGACAGAGGGATTAAGTGCACCCTCAGCAAGTTTGCTGATGACACCAAGCTTTGTGGTGCGGTCGACATGCTGGAGGGAAGGGATGCATCCTTGACAGGCTTGAGAGTTTGGCCCGTGCGAAACTCATGAAGTTCAACTAGGCCAAGTGCAAGGTACTGCATGTGGGTTGGAGCAATCCCAAGCACAAATACAGGCTGGGGCCCCCAACAAGAAGGATGTGGACCTGTTGAAGCAAGTCTAGAGGAGGGCCACAAAGATGATCAGAGGGCTGGTGCACCTCTCCTATGAAGACAGGCTGAGAGAGTTGGGGTTGCTCAGCCTGGAGAAGAGAATGCTTCGGGGAGACCTTAGAGCCCCTTCCAGTTCCTGAAGGGGACCTACAAGAAAGCTGGAGAGGGACTTTTTACAAGGCCACGTAGTGATAGGATGAGAGGAAATGGCTTTAAACTGAAAGAGGATAGATTTAGATTAAATATAAAGAAGAAATTCTTCACTATGACAGTGGTGAGGCACTGGAACAGGCTGCCCAGAGAAGCTGTGCCTGCCCCATCCCTGGAGGTGTTCAAGGCCAGGTTAGACAGGGCTTTGAGCAACCTGGTCTGGTGGGAGGTGTCCCTGCCCAGGGCAGGGGGGGTTGGAACTTGATCTCCAAGGTCCCTTCCAACATAAACTATTCTATGATTCTGTGATTTAATAGGTAAAACTACAAATGGGTTCTATCTGAGAAGCACTTCCTGGTAATTGCACCTTTTACCGTTTAAACTTAGGGGATCTGCCCGATTTATAAACAGGCACAACATGGTTGGCCCTCAAATAGCATTCTACCCCAGTCCAGGAAAGATTTAAAAGCCATCTAGATATGGTGCTCAGGGACATGGTTTAAAAGTGGGTCCAGTAGAGTTTAGATGACATTTGGACCTGATGATCTTAAAGGTCTTTTCCAGCCATTATGATACTATGAAGTACACAGGCTTTTAAATACCCCCCCATACACTGGCTATGTTGAAAGTCTGTGCATCATAGCTGGCTTATTCTAATAGCCATCTATAGATACAGCAGATGACATGATTTTATCAGACTTGCTGCCTTTAGTTCAAGTTCCTGAATCTCTCATGTTCTCTGTTGGTGGAGAGCATAGCTTTTCATTTAGGGGTGAGGGAGGGAAAGAACTGGATGCATATGGGTAGGGTCTGTGAAATCCAAGTATTTTTTTGCACTGTCTTTAAAAAGTGTAGTTTTGCTATAACTGTCTGACTTGATTTCCTCCCCACACTCCCTCAAAAAAAACCCACAAAACAAACAAAAACATCCCAAACCCCAGCATCCTTGTAACCAACTGTATTTCAGGTGTCTGGCACTTGTAGCTTTTACTGCATCAGAATGTAAAGCTTTTGGCTTCTATTCCAAAATATATTGCGTGAAGATGGAGCATAAAATATTTTAGTAATGCAAATTGTTTTCATGCTTGATTCAACGTATTACCATCTAAAGTAACGATGATGTCCCTGTGTGGGACTCTCTTCTTCAGTGTACTAATAGTAGAGGGCTAATTTCAGATAAGATAAAGAGTTATTCTTGATACGTATAGTAGCTACATCTATGGTAGCTACATCTGGGAGGTTGCAGAACAACTTTGGGCTGCAATGCTATGGGTTCCTTCAGTTGTGTTTACCATGTACCATGCTTGTCTTGTCAGAAGTTGATCTGGAAAAAGACAGGTTTTAAACACTGTGGCATGGCTGCTCAAAGGCCTGCTGCTTTCACAGGTACTGCTAATGTGCTGTGTACTAACTCTGCTCTCTTGCAGGTGCTCTCAATTCCTGGTTTTATTAATCTTGAATATTCTGTTTTCTACTTTACTGCTGCAGTAGTGTCACTCTCGATGATATTATGCGCATTGGAGTTAATGGTTTTCAACCTTAGTTGAATGCCCTTAATCTGAGGATTTCAGCACTTGGGAGAATTGGGTGTTAAGTGTACTGACAAGAATCTGGAGTGGATGTGGATTAATAACCTCTTCAGAGCCTGTAGTTCTTCAGCTGAGTTACTCCACATAATGTTGGCCATGTCTATGCCGGGAAGGACTCCAGAAACTTTTTTAAGGATCCGAAGATTGGTAGTGAATAAAGGAATTGCACGTAACATTTACGCTGTCACGCTGCTGTAGTACAATCTATATGGCCTTAGAGTTAAGAAGTCCAGAAGCTTTGGAGTAATGCAGGGTAAAGTACGTGGGTCTACTTAACCTTGTGTTCTGTGCGCTTGGCTAAAGATACTTGGAGGGCTGGTGTTTGGGCTGGTGTAGCCTGGGAGTGTGACTTGTCAACAGACTGAAGTCCCGGACATGGCGAGGAAAACCTGCCACGTGCCTTAGTATTCCTGTGGTCCATCTGCTTTAGTTCCAATTTTTGGAGTCTCTTGGATCTCTTTCTAGTGGAGCTTAGGGCTTGTGAAGCATGTTTGTTAACATGGCGGTGACCTTAGGTGTGCTGCCCTTGCCGGCTGCCTTGTGTTTGAAGGAGTTGTTGATGAAAGAGGGCTTGATGTGCCTGCCTTCCAGAGACTGCAGTAGTGTTCAGGATTGAGTTGAGCTTCCCATCAGCACAGTAGAAATTTTACCATGATTTTTGTCCCGATGCGTCGTAAGACAGCATTTTTATCAGTAGTCAGCATGGTCGCTATGTTTTCATGTCAGGGTGCTTGACTTTTTTTGCCTTAG